GAAACTGGGGGGTAAGTACTTGTAAGTATATTTTCTGCCTTTGTGTATGAGGTATACTTTAAACTTTTAATTCTCCAAATTTCATACCACTAGATCCTTTATCTTGCTCTCAAAAATGTCACCAATCTATAATCACATACCTTTAATAAATGTATTTAAAATACAATTTAAACAAAACATGTACCCTACCAGGGTCCTGGTATATTGGATTATTATTATTATTATTATTATACAGTATTTATAAAGCGCCAATAGTTCGCTCAGTGCTGTACATTACAAAGGGGGACAGAACATGTGACAGAACAATACCAATACAATGCAAAACATGAGGGGATTGAGGGCCCTGCTCTTTCGAGCTTACAATCTAGGAGGGAGGGGATGGTGGCACAGGAGGAGATAGCTGTGGGGGATGGAGTGGTAGGAAGAGTGGAGGAGGTTGGCAAATTAGCAGGGGGTGGGGTAGGCTTCCCTGAAGAGATGGGTTTTCAGGGTGCGCCTAAAGGAGAGGAGAGTAGGTGATAATCTGATGGGTTGGGGCAGGGAGTTCCAGAGGATGGGTGACACCCTGGAGAAGTCCTGGAGGCGGGCATGGGAGGAGGGGACCAGGGAACTGGAGAGAAGGAGGTCTTGTGAGGAGCGGAGTGTGCGTGCTGGGTGGTACTTGGATATTAGGTCAGTGATGTACAGTATGGTGGACAGCTCAGTCAGTGTTAGGATTTTGAATTTGATCCCAGTGGAGGGATTGGGAGAGGGGGGTGGCGGAAACGGAGCGGTTGGAAAGGTGAATGAGTCTGGCAGTAGTATTCAGGATCAACTGAAGCGGGGATAGCCAGCGGCGAGGCAGGCCAGTGAGGAGGGAGTTGCAGTAGTCGAGTCGTGATATGATGAGGGAGTGGATGAGCTGTTTAGTGGTTTCTGGGGTTAGGAACGTGCGTATTTTGGCGATGTTGCGGAGGTGGAGTCTGCACAAGTTTTTAAAGATTGGACTTGGGGCTGGAAGGATAGGTTGGAGTCCAGAATGACACCAAGTACTCTGGCCTGCAGGGTGGGTTTGATGGTGGCGTTGTTGGATGTGATGGAGAAGTCAATGGGGGGTGGTGTGCGGGCTGGGGGGAAGAAAGAAACTCGGTTTTGGAGAGGTTCAGTTTAAGGAAGTGGAGTGACATCCAGTCTGATATGTCGCTCAGTAGGTGTGTGATTCGGGCGGAGATTGAGGGGGTGAGGTGGGGGGTTGAGAGATAGATTTGTGTGTCGTCAGCATAGAGGTGGTAGTTGAAGCCGTGAGAGTGTATGAGTTGGCCAAGGGAGGAGGTGTAGATGGAGAAGAGAAGGGGCCCGAGGACAGAGCCTTGAGGGACCCCAACAGAGAGGGGGAGTAAGGGGGAGGTGGTTGCATTATAGGTAACGCTGAAAGAGCGTTGTGACAGGTAGGATGAGAGCCATGAGAGAGCAGAATCTCTGAGGCCGAGGGAGTGTAGTTTTTTGAGGAGGAGGGGGTGGTCCACTGTGTCGAAGGCCGCAGGAGAGGTCAAGGAGTAGGAGCACTGAATAGTGGCCATTAGCTTTGGCGGTTAGCAGGTCGTTGGAGAGTTTGAGTAAAGCAGTTTCGGTGGAGTGTAGGGGACGGAAGCCGGACTGTAGGGATCGAGGAGGTTGTTGTCGTTGAGGTGAGAGCTTAGGCGGGTGTAGACTAGGCGCTCGAGGAGTTTAGATGTAAATGGGAGCAGGGAGATGGGTCTGAGGTTGTTCGGGTCATTGGGGTCCAGGGAGGGCTTTTTAAGTATGGGGGTGATGTGTGCATGTTTCAGAGGGGAGGGGAAAGTGCTGGAGGAGAGGGAGAGAGATTGAAGATGTGGGTGAGGGAGCGTAGGATGGAGTGGGAGGGAGGTCGTAGGAGTTGTGAGGGGATAGGGTCGAGGGGGCAAGTGGTGAGGCGGGCATCAGAGAGGATCTTGGAGACTTCCTCGATGGTAGTAAGGTCAAAGGTGCGGAGTGTTGGGGGAGCTTCAGTATGAGGAATGTAGGGTGGGGTGGAAGTGCAGGTCAGAGCAGTGGTGGGGCCGTGGGAGAGGGGTGATGATGGGGGTAGCTGAGTGAGGGGGAACAGGGTTGGAGGGAGTTTGAGCAGCGACGAAGTCCCTGCGGATTATGTCGAGGGGGAGGGGGGATGAGGGGGTAGCTGTGTGAGAGGGGACGGGTTGAGAGGGCGTGTGAGTTGCGACGATGTCCTTGCGAATTGTGTCAATCTTGTTTTTGAAGTGATTGGCAATCTCAAGGGCAGTGAGTGAGGTGCTGGGTGGAGGTGGGGGTGGCGAGAGTAGAGAGTTGAAGGTGGAGAAGATTCAGCGAGGATTGGAGGAGAGGGCCTTGATGAGGGTCAGGAAGTAGGCTTGTTTGGCTGCGTGGAGGGAGGAGGTTTTAGGTGTGGAAGGCAGATCTGTAGCGGGTGAAGGCTTGTTGGGATTTGGTTTTGCGCCATAGGGCACGACTGTGTCGTTTGAGGGTTTTGGTGTGATCAGTCTGCCAGGGCTGGAGTGGTCGGGGTCTGATGTTGCGTGTGTTTAAAGGTGCTAGTGAGTCAAGGGCTGTTGAGAGCGCGTTGTTGTAGGCGGTCATAGCCAAGTCGGGGCAGGACAGGGGGAGGATGCTGTCATGGAGTTGATCAGCTGCAGAGTGGAGGGGGACAGGGTTAAGGTTGCGGAGGTTACGGCTGGTAGTAGTGTGACATTTGGAGGGGTAGGCGTTGGAGGATGAGGAGATATAGAAGGTAATCAGGTTATGGTCAGAGAGAGGGAAGGGGGTGTTAGTGAGGTTGTGGGGAGCGCAGCGGTTAGAGAAGACAAGATCAAGGATATTACCGTCGGAGTGGGTGGTGGATTGTATACACTGTGCAAGTGCAAAGGAGGAGGTTAAGTGGAGGAGATGGGATGTGTCCGGGTTGTTGAGGTTGACAGGGATGTTGAAATCCCCAAGGATGATGGTGGGTAGCTCAGAGGAGAGGAAGAAGGGTAGCCAGGAGGAGATGTCATCCAGGAAGCGGGATATGGATCTAGATGGCAAGTGGATATATTTTAATTGCATTAATCATAGAAGTCTGATTTTTACATAGGTTGTGCATATCAACAACCGACAGACACCCCCACTATCAGAGAGGATTTGTGAGATGGAATATATGGGATTGATCTACTAAAAGCAAATGAGCTGTTCATTTTGCAAGGGAATTCGCCCTAGAGCTTAGTGAATGAGGTGAAGCTCTGATGACTTCCATCATCCAATCATGTGCAAGCAAAAATGCTGTAATTTTTCTTTCATGTTATTGGGTATTCTTAGCAAAGCAAAACTTCACCACATTAACTGAGCCCCCTGGGCAAATTTATTTGCAAAGTGAACAGCCTATTTGTCTTTACTAAATCAACCTGACAGCTACCAAACAATTACTGCTAGTAATATATTCCTAGTGTATGTAAAGGCATTTTTTTGAATTTTTGGAAAGAGTAGGGAAGGGTTAAACCCTCTGTCAATTTTTTATTGCTGTCTGTGACACCCAGGGCTGCTGTTAGAAACCACGGGGCTCCATACAGCCAACCTGACAAACCACACCCCCTAAAAAAAAAAAGCACAGTCTACTATGCTTCAGTTATGAATGAACAGAATGTGTGATGGGTACTGATCTCTCATTGTGTTCATTCTGGAAAACAAGGGGCTGGTAAATGCAACTTATTTAGCGGTCCCTTCCCCCAACTCTCCATCTTGAAGGATCCTATTATGTGCTTGCAGCTGCCGGTGGAAAGGAGAGGAAGTAAGCTGGCAGCACTGCAGGGGTGGAGGCACACAGGAGGGCCTGGGCAGCAGGGGGAAATGTATGGTGCACAGGGAGAGCAATGGGTGAGGGGGGAATTACTGAAAGCAATCCTTTGTATGCCCTCTTTGCAGCAGCTGAAAGTCAGCTTTCAGCCGCTGCAGAAAAAGCCATACAAGGGATCGGTTCCAGTAACTGCCCCCCAGCCATACTAATCACGCTCCCTGCCCACATCCAATTCACTCAGCTGTCTGGGCCCCCTTGCTGCCCTGGACCCCATACAGGAGGACTGGTGGTGCCCCATTATCCACGGCCTTGGTGACACCATTGGAGTGCTATACCCCTCTTTTTATCTTGGTGACCATATCTGAAAGGGATGGGAAATTCAAAAATTTTGAGTTGTCTTCAAAGTAAAAGTTGAGCAAAAACCCTCCAATAGAAACACCGGTGTCTAAGACAACTCACTAAGGCACCCATTGTCAACCAGGGTTCCTTTAGAGGTTGCTAGGGGTTCCTTGAGCTGTGGCTGATTAACCTATCTGATAGAGCTTGCATAGTTCCAGGGGAAAGCCACTTGGCAAAGCTAGCAGCATGACACTAATGCACTTTTTTGTTATCTGTAAGGGTGGCATTAATCCTACTGACAACCCCTGAAAATTATTTTAGAGGTTCCTCTCAGGGAGGAGGTTGAGAAAGGCTGCTTTAAGTGCTCTTTCACACTATATGTGCATACAAAACTCATTAAAAAATGCAGTAGAGTAGAGATACACATTTACATGTTATATGTTTCAGTGCATTTTCAATGCTATAAGAGTAGGATTTGTCTTTCTCTCCTAGTCACTGGTTGCAGGTGTATTGATGTAGAGTGTTTTTTAGCTTCTGCTCCCACTTTAAAGTGGAATTAAACTCTCCAAATTTAAAAACTGACAACAAGCTATTGATCTCTTCTGTCATAACTGCTTCTCCCTGATTGTCAGTGTACCCTAAGCCATGCATAGGCACCTCTCTGCTGCTCATGCTTTGCATGCATGGAAGTGATGTCATCATGGCCCCGACAGTCATGTGGCTGCAGAATACAAACCTGGAAGGAAGAATGGAAGATAATGAAAGTTCCCATGACAGCTTAACCGCTTCCCATCCGCCCTATAGTAGTAATACTGCTACAGGGCGGCACGGGTACGCAAAATCATGCATATATACGTGATTTTGCATTACCGGGTAAAGGGCGCATGACAGCCACGCTCGCGCTTTACCCGCGCCGCTATTCACATCCTCAGTTGTCAATCACCGGGTCCCGGCCAGTGATTACTCGCTGGTACCTGGTTATCGAGGAGCATTACTGATGGAGGGAGAGAACTGTATGTACACAATATAGTTCTCTCTCCTGTCAGCTCCTGAACACTGTTTTGCATGGCTGTGCATAGTAGAGCCATGCAAACAGTGTGCTTACAGTGAAGCACACACACAGCACACAGTAAAACAGCACACAGTTAACCCTTTGATTGCCCCACATGTTAACCCCTTCTTGCCCAGTGCCATTAGTACGGTGTCAGTGCTTTTTATTAGCACTGATCACTGTACTGGTGTCACTGGAGATGTCAGTGACACCAAGTCAGTTCCCCCCAGTGTCAGAATGCCAGCCACAGTCCTGCAGTCCCACTATAAGTCGCTGATTTGTTGAAAGAAAAGGGGTGCTGTTGTGCTTAGGAAAAAAATTACATATATAAAAGAATTGACTGTATATAAGATACCTATATAGCAGCAGTCACCAAACACCAATTTGGACATTTTGTTCACTTTTATACATTTTTTATAAGTGTCATGCGTTTATTTTTTATGCATGTTTGTCACACATAGTGTGACACAGTTATTTCACTTCAGTGTTTATAGTCACGTGTGATTTAATTTGTTTCACGCAATTTTTTATGTTTGGTTAGACATTTGTTTCTGGGGGTATTCTTTGGTTAGTATTGTAATAAGGAGTTTTTCCTGGATTTATGTGCGTTTTTCTTTCTCCTTCAGTCCTAATTTTGGACAGTGTTTATGTATCAGTCCCATTCGGACTATTCTATATTATTGTTTGAGTGTTCACCATCACCTTAGATCCTAATCAGGATCAATTCATATATACACCCACTTTGCGAGATCATTGGTATAGACACTTTTAGTTATTGGTATCACTTTGAATCCCGTAGTGGATTGTTATTCACTTTCTTCACAAGAGGATCCCCAAAGGATCAGGTTACTTTCAGACACTATTAGTATTTACTTTTGATCTTATGAGGATCAAGTCACTTATAATTTTTTTCGTTTATTTATTTTAGAATTTATCACATGTATTTTTGTGTGTTTATGTCATGGTATTCACTTATGCATGTTAATATATATTATATATTTTAGGTAGCACTACATCATTTATTTCATTTACTGTGCTTAGGATATTTTTATATTAGTAATATGTTCACTGATCCTTTTAGTAAGTTTACGGGTGGTCCTCCCTATATATTGACAGCCACATGTACAGATCAACATATAGGTTACATATTTGGTCTAGCAAGTAATGAAAGGTTTGATGCAGGGGCAGACTGACAACTCATGGGGCCCCGGGCAATAGGGGATCATGGGGCCCCTGTGTCATCACCCACACTCAAACCACACCCAAAAAAGCCTATGAAAGGTACCAGGGACATCTCATGGGGCCCCTTACTGACCCCGGGCCCTCCGGCAGTGCCCAAGTTCCCTAATGGTCAGTCCACCCCTGGTTTGATGTTATACTGTCTATATGTTTGATAAGACATAAACGTTTTAATTTCTCTAGGCATTTTTTGAGTAGTTTTGCTTGGTCCACATTTCCCACATCTAAAAAACCTCCTTCTTGAAAAAATGAAAAAGAAAGCTTTTTAGGAGATTTGGGATATTATGTACCAATTTCGTCCTCAACCCAGGTGCTCTCCTATAGATAAATTATGGTTTTCTAGGGAGTATAGTTTTTAATGTGGGATCCTTACATAAGATAGGCCAGTGTTTCTGAAAGCTCCGCTCCACAGCTTTATAATGTTGGTTTAATCCTGTAATGTAGGCTAGTTCTCCTTTGTTTATTGATGATCTACATTGCTCATGGAGTAGAATGGATCTATCCAGGGTGCCTACTTTTTCTCTTACTATTCTAAGTTCATCTACAGGATAGCCCTTTTGTTGGAATCTCTGTATGAGGACATCAGTTTGCTCCTGGGTTGAGGACGAAATTGGTACATAATATCCCAAATCCCCCTAAAAAAACGTTCTTTTTAATTTTTTCAAGAAGGAGGTTTTTTTAGATGTGGGAAATGTGGACCATGCAAAACCACTCAAAAAATGCCTAGAAAAATGAAAACGTTTATGTCCCATCAAACATATACAGTATAACATTAAACTTTTCATTACTTATCAGACCAAATATGTAACCTATATGTTGATCAATATATAGAGAGAACTACCTGTAAACTTACTAAAAGGATCAGTGAACATATTACTACTATAAACAAAAATTATCCTAAGCACAGTGTATCCAACCACTTCAACCACTTGGTACACAATAAAAACCCCTCTCATTTATCCTTCCTTGCCATAGATAAAGTAGATAGACATTGGCGAGGATCACACATGACCAGAGAAATTTCAAAAAAGGAAACCCAATGAATTTATGTACTCCAAACATTAGCGCCAGAAGGGTTAAATGTAGCAACTGATCTAAACTGACGAATTTATAAGAAAGTATCATTACCACTGAATATTGAGGTCTCTTGGTCCCAAAAAATAAAATTAATTTTATAACATTTTTAAAAAAATATATATTTTTTTCAATTTACAGATAATTTATATCATTGAGGTATTTTACATTTAGCTTGATTGCCACGGGCATATATATATATATATATATATATATATATATATATATATATATGTAACGTAGGCATATAGTGATATTCACAGCAAATTTTGTATTTTGCACCTTGAATATATGGGGGGCATTCCCCCTCCAGAATGTCATGGTTTAGTATGGGAATAAATCCACTATAATGACATTATGGATAGGGTTATATTTAGAACTTTTATATTTTATATATTTATTTTAATTTTGGTATTATTTAATATTAATAATTTTACACTCATTTTTTCTGAGATTAATATATATAATTTTCCATAATAAAATATCCAAAGTTATTTCTGAATGCAGAGACGCAGCAGGGATAATTTTTTAAAATTTGTAAAAAATTTTTGGGGATTTTGTTGTTTATAAATGCATTTACCCTATTTTGTATAGTAACATGCATTGGGGAACCTTCCCCTTTAAGAACACCATGCAGTGATGATATCATATATATATATATATATATATATATATATATATATATATATATATATATAATAAAATTGTTGTTTATGTATATCCATAGTTTATGTGGGCACTGGCTGTATTCAGCAATGTTGCAGTTATTTATAGTTATAAAAACCGAGTGCCACAGCTGCAGTATATTGGAAATTGAATTGGTGACTGACGGGTATAAATACCTTCTTCAATATCGTGGATTTTGTACTTCCTGAAGACGACCTATTGATGGAAACGCATCGAGGGCTTATGAAGCAACTTCCGCTGACGTCACTTCCAATATTTGGAACGCACGCTGGAATGCATCGGCCATCTTAATTCCTATAATACACAAAGCTGAATACACCTAGTGCCAGGAAAGTCACTTTTTTTGTGAGTGGAATTTCTATTGTTTGACCCCATATTAAAGTTCTATACAGTTTTACACTATGGGATGTCTGGTTTTGTTTTAATTTATGCTGAAAATATGAAATACTGCCTGTGGAGGAGAGGAGTTTCCTAACATTGATGCAGTCCTAGTGGAAAGTTATTGGTTACTACCAGCAACCGCGGTTATAAGGGTGAAGGAATATTGGCCATCAGGACTGGATTGCATATTGGGATAGTCCCAAAAAGTGAGTGTGACTTACCTAGAGATAGGTGGTCATGAAATGACGGTAAGTTTACATCTATGTGGGACACCAGTGTGAACCTTTTTAGCAAAGACATGTAGCAGAATACATTTTGCCCTAAATTTATGACAAATTTGATCTTTAAAATTTTTTTACTGGACATGTTTAATAACAAAAAGTCAAAAATATTGTTTTTTTTCTCAAAATTGTTTTTTTTTTTTTTATTTTCTTACAGTGCAAAAAATAAGAACCGCACAGGCGATCAAATACCACCGAAAAAAAGCTCTATTCATGGGAAAAAAAGAAAGTCAATTTAATTTGGGTGCAACATTGCATGACCACGCATTTGTCAGTTAAAATAATGCAGCACCAAAACGCCAAAAATGGCCTGGTCAGGAAGGGGGGTAAATCATTTGGAGGGCAAGTGGTTAAAGCACTGACACTACAGTTCTGGGTGGGATCACTTGACAGGTAAGTCTGCCATTATGTGCTAATAAGCTGTGCATACTAGTACATTATGGCATAAAGCTCACAAGAGAAAAAATACAAGGTTCAATTCAGCTTTAATAGGACTTGTGATATCTGATCTTGTTAGAACAATGCCTGGCTAGCTGGTAAACAGGAGGAGTGGGCTCCACAAGACAGCTGGACTAGGAGAGCTGTGGGTATAAATCCAGTCCTGTTCACATCTACCTGCATACTTGTCCTGGGTTAGTGACCCAAAATCTTCATGCCATTGGGTCAGAATGAAAGCCTTCTTTCCTTTAACTTCCCATTTTGAATTAAGTGTGTCTTCAATACACTTTATTTCATTTAATAGGCCCAGACAAATCAAAAAAGTTTGGACTTTTAACTTTAATAACCATTATTATACCTTTTTTGCAGTCTAGCAAAATGATTAAGTCAGGCCAAAATCCTAACATATGTGCAGTTCTTTTAGAATTGAAATTGCAAAACCATGTGTGTGTAGTGGTAATTCTTTCCTTCATCTGCAGTATCACATTGTTTCAGACGTCTTATTAAACTTCTGTGACTTTGATGCCTTAAAAGGATGCTGACACTGAGGTGTTTGCATCCTTTATCTTGGACAAAAGATACAGTATTAATAGCTCAACAGGCAGAAGAATGTCATCCTCCCTATTAGCAGTGTCATTGTTGAAGTAATACGGACCATCAAAACTCTGCAGAAGTTATTTTCTCTCCCTCAGTCTGCTAGGAGAGGTGACCCAACACACAGCAGGTGAGTGGTACCCAACTGTTAGCTCATTATAACATCTACCAAGTTTTCAGATGTCAGGATATTTCTCCTGGTTAAGAACTGACAATTATTTGAAACAAAAGCAGTTTTCATTATTTAATTTTTATGGGCTATGCTAAATTTTACTGTGGCGTTAAAGTAACACTAAACTCCAGTTTAAAGAAAATGTATTCTTAACTCATGAAAGTACCTTCTATTGCTCTCAACCTCCTCCAACTCTCCAAAATCTTTTTTTTTTGCTGCTGTGGTCCAACTTCCTCTTAGAGGGTGGCCACATTTATTCTTCTGGGTCCCACTATATAAAGGAACATAGCCACTATCTCTTGTTTAATCCCAAAATGGACCATGGACTATAGGATTTGTAGTATGCACATGACCACTAATGGCCACTGCTCGTTCCAAAAAATACAGAAACCCACAGCAGTCAATCAAATTTCAATTTACTGAAATGATCAGTGGTATATAGAATTTTTATTCCTACTGTACTTCATTCTCTATTCTTTGCTTGATTTAATAAACTTGAATGATTTGGGATCAGGTATAATTTTATGAAAATAAACCAGGTAAAGTGTGCATTTTTGGTTTTACTTGTCCAATCACCAAACCCTTATTTAAGGAATTCATACATTTACTGTTTTACAATACTATACAAGCTTGAAATAAGATGGGGCTAACTTATCTGCTCACCAGTATGTATAATGTGGAAAAATAGTTAACACAGGCCAACACACATTTTGGTGCCTCAAATGTTAGACCTGTTCCTGGGTATATTTGACCCGCTGATTCCAAAAATGGCACCAATTTTCCCTAACAGCTCTTCTTTTTGAGATACAGTATGAATGCCATATACCATACTTCACTCTGGTTGCCCACCGAAAATAAAGATATTTTAATGTAGTGTTTTATATAATCGCCCTGTAGCATAAAAGAAACACATAAAAAAGTAGCCGTAACTTCTCTGGTACTTGATCTGCAAAAATTAAAATATATGAGTGGCAGTATACACACACCTCGTATATGATCATAACTGTATTACAGTTAATAACTTACACTATAGAATCCAATGTTTCCAATGTAAAATTACAGTTGGAAATACATAAACATGTTCACTATATCTGCTAACTTCTACACAAAAACACAAACTAGGTAACAGAACAAGTTGATCAGCAAGATCTTTTCAAAAACAGACTAAAAAATTATATAAATTTGACCATATCTAAGAAACCAGAGCTGATTCATTCTAGCCAATGCAATGTTCTGAATCAGTGCCCAAATAACCCCAAGAACAGCTCTAAAAAGCAAGGCACCAGGAAAGAATATTTTCTGTTGGGCTGTATAGTCTGACAAAAAAATTCAAATATCATTCAGCCAAATAAGATAGCTGTTATGTTATATTTAATAACAAAAATCAGATCGAAAGACTTTGTAGATTTTTTTTTATACAGATTGTGCTATACATAAGGTACTATGGTGTCCGTTTATGAACCAGCAGTAATAGATCGCTGCTCAGTTCTCCGGCATTCTCGGAGAACACAGTTCTCCTG